AGAGGCAAGCCTCAGTGACAGTTGAACTGACATCTCTCAGATTTTGCTCCTCGGAGTTTATTTCCTTTTTAGAATCATCGGAGACGAGAACGTGATGCGAGCTGTAGAGTGTATGTTTGCGACGAAACTCCGAAGTAATGCTGCTCGACTTCAGCAGATTTGTGACAGCCAGTTAAAAGCCGAGTGGATTGTTTGGCAGACTGGAATCGAGGTCCGTAATTTCAAAATCGGATAGTATCATAGGGTTCCTGAGTTTCATTGGGTAGTAAGCTTCTTGGTGTCTTCTTATTAAATGAAACTCTTCGAAATCTTTATTTGTCGTTGTCAAATAAAGATTTCGAAGAGTTTCATTTAATAAGAAGACACGAAGAAGCTAATTTCAAAAGCTCTAAAATCGCTGGCGTGTTCCTAGCAGTCTACACGGGTTAGCGCGTTCCAAGCAGTCTATACGGGATATGTGACAAGACATTCGTAATTCGCCTCACTGGTGGGCGTCCCCAGCGATGGTGTCTGCCGCATGCAGCAAATGGGTAGTTCGCAGCCACATATATGACATGCTATTGTCAACGTTTTCCTTTGGTACAGCACTTGAACAAAATTAAAGATGTTAGTGTGCTTTCGCTGTGGAATATCTGAGTGGAACTGCCGCGCTGGTTACCGCACAACGCGCTGAGCGCGACGACGCGGTAAATTAGGATTGTCTTGACAGCCTCCCGTTTATTCATGACCCCCACCCCACACAAGATGCCAATTTATTTCCTTAGTTTCTACCAGTAACTTTTCATCTGCAACATTTGAGCGACGAATTAATTTCAAGGGTATGGAACTCTTTACTTACCAATGACGCTTGCTAAAACATGTTCTGCTCTTTGATTCGCGTGCTGTTCCTCCGATATTCCGTTTGTTTTCAGCTCTTGATCAAAGGCCATTCGGTTTTCGTTCTCAAGCAGTTCTATGCTCAGGTTTGTGTTTCCTATTGATCAGATTAATTTTGACTGAATTTTTATTATTTTTAGGCAGAAGTTCGTGATTTGGACTATACACTTTTGAACTTTCGAACGCGTGATGAGCAGAAAAGATGGCGCACATTTCCGCTTGAGCAGTAT